CGGCCCCGGCGAGGGAGAGGAGGGATGCTGATGAAAGCCTTCGGGGGTTCAGGTGCGAGGCCCCACACTGCCGTCCCCGGGGCTGCCGGGGGAGACGGGCGGGGACCACGCTAAACCTTGCTAAGGCCTTGTCTGCCTGAAGCGCCTGTCCGCGGAGAGCAAAACCCGGCATTTCCTCAAGGCGCCCTCCGGTGACGCTGAAGTGGTTTTGCTCCAGAGTGGGGCACCGCCGCAGCTGCTTTTCCTGTTGGTTGGTCTGAGTGTCCTGGAAAGAAGTTTAGGGGTTTGCTTCTGTAAAGCAGGCTGACGGTGGGACCTGTAAAGCTGATGCTGCCGTCTTCAGCTGAACACCTCTGGGACAAACGCACGTGAAGGGCCCTACAGCATGCAGCCGGCTCACGGTGCAAGTTACACGGGGGAAACTGAGTACAAAGTACTCAAAGAAACCGAAGTACAAATTCTGTGGGGAAGGCAGGGACCCCCCTTAGGGCTAATTATGTGCTGCTAATATATTTCAACGCCCTTGTCTTTGTTCCACATTGAACTAAGTGAAAGATTCCTACTGTTCTACAGGTTTACACGTAAAAAGTAAGACTTCCATGAGAACTTGGTCGCACTTGTCACAAGAACTACTTCTTTGCAGCTTCCAATCTCATTCCCACTCTCACTAGAGAAGAAGGAACGGTCACAGTATTTTCTTCGTGTTGCTCTATGTTCCACTAGGTAGAAGTTAAGCCCAGAAATGGAAGATGGAAGGAACTGAGGTCTGAGATGAAAAAAACAGTTAAATATAGCAAAACAGTAAAAGGTGCATTGGAAATCATCAGGGAACAGTGACAGCCTAACTTCATGAAAGAATTACTAACATCTGGGCAGAATATTATAGTGCATTATCATCTGAGCTCCACATACAATAGAATAGTTCAGTTGAAGGGACCTACAATGATCATCTAGTCCAACTGCCTGTGTAACTCCTGCAGTACATACAGGGTATGAATCATAAGCTAATGGAAACATACGGAGGTATAGTGGTAAATCAAAATGTGCAGTCTCACCTAAATGCCAATATCTAAAATACACAAGGAAAGCAGAGCTTACATCTGTTTGCCCTCACATAAAACATTGAGCAAGTCTACAAAATGGCAGATGTGAGAACAAGAGTCAGGTGAGAAAGCAAGACTGCTAAGAAGCAGCAGGAAGATGGAAGAGGAGTCAAAGCTAATGCTGTTGTCAAAAAGGCAGAAGAACAGGAAGAGTCACAGAAGTCCACAAGAAACAAAACAAAGGGGAACATGGATTGTCTGCAGACTGCAAATACAGAGAGTCACTGTTGGATTTGAGAAGCTGGGGGAACTGAAATATACTTTCTGAATACTGCTCACTGATTGATATCTTACACAGGTCAAGCTGTCCCACAAAAAACCATCTGTGATACTAGTATTTCAGGGCAGCAGCTTCTTGTATTCTTCATCTCCATTTAAAACATTTCTCCGGCAATTTTGTATTAATGGTTTAACATCATATTGTAGTTTTGACAGGCAATACAGGCTAATGTATAATAATGTGAAATATGTGTTTGTACAGTAATATGAAAGAGGAAAAAAAGATTGAAGGGCATTCCTTTATACAAACTACATTTTAAAAGTAAGAGTCACACAAATTGGCCCACAGGTTCAGAGAATTTTCACGAATATGCAAGAGATTTAATTAAAAATAGAACATGCCCCAATTACATAATTATGCAAGAGAACTGATTCAAAGGAACCACTCCTGTCTTTTGAATAAACAATATTCATTGCTTCCTATCACACATTTGCTTTAAAAGATTTCCTGCAATTAGCTGCTTACCCGAGGGATCTGAGCATCTCTGAACAAAGCAACTACTCCAGCTATGACCCTGATTCATAATACGCTGGCTAATCAAGTATATGCATGCTGGCAATTTCCCACGTAAGCAGCACACACTATAAGCTCCCTCCTGCAGGAAGGTTGATTAGTTCAATGGAACTAAAGTGCAGTATTACTCCTCTCTGTTTATGGCACACAGCAGAAGACAGACACAGAACAGACATGGTGAGCGTGCTTCTTCCTCAAGCTTCTGCCTCACATGAAATATTGTAAGAGTTCATCTCCATTTGGATCTTGTTTTTCCTGTCCCATCTACATAAGAATTATCCAAGTTCATCTAGTAGTAAAAACTATTTACTGCCCACATTTCCATCTTCTCTTAGGGAACTAGTTATGCTATATGCCCTGCTTTTAGGATGAAATGACCTAGACATGCTGTCTCTAGAATATTCTTTGTCTGCCACCAACAAGGTCACTGTGGTTTTCTGCAGACATCTGAGTGGATATTAAAACAAAACCCCAAAACACATTATTTAGTGCTGGATTCTTTATTCTCAATATACCCATTTCCCTCCTCTCCCAGAAGAGAGAGGGAGGTTTGTAATTCACAGTGGGAGAGAAAAAAGCAAACAGTTCAACTAACACAGCATAAAGCTTTTACGTTTTGAGGTGCAACAGTGTGAGAAATACACGCAGCAAACTAAGATTTGGTTTGACTGACATCCACAAACAGAGCAAGCATCTATAAAGAAATTCAGGTTCACTTCATTTAAGAAGTGAGGATCGTTTTCTTTTACCATTGTTATTAAAAAAAATTATCCTCCTGGCTTAGAGGATCTTTCCTCCAACAGAGACAAAAGTTTTTTAAATCTAATCCTACAGTCTATAAAATCTATGACTTCATTTTATAAATATGGGCTACAATAAAGCACTACGTTGGAATAATTTCAACTGCTGCTAAAGTGCTGTTTAAAAGCATCCTGGCAATAATAAATACTGAAAAGCCAGATTCGGCAACCTGTCTGGCTTTTCATCACAATCGCTTGACAGTTGCATATGCTTTTAGTTTATATTTCCTACAAGAATGTACTTTATGGAAAAGAGGAAACATAAAAATCAGTGCTCAAGAGTCAAAAGTGTCAAGTATGCAGTCCCAGACACAATTTCAGCCTAATTCCTTTGAGCATATGTGCAATTACTGCATGCAGAGCTACCTTGTTATCAGGGAGTTCAGGCACTTTGGAGTAAAAGGAGTGTATTTTGTTTGACATGACTCATTGTCATAGTCAAGGTGCCTGAAAACACCATCGGGAACCCACTGTTGGGCGTGGCATTAAAGTACTAAGTAAAATAAACACTGATCATGATGCTGCTTCCCAAGTCAATAAGCTTTATTTACATGCAAGTGAATTCCCCTGTTTCAGAGTCACAAGGATTTCTAGAAAGCTGTAACAAATGAAAGCCAGCATGCTTTTTTCTATCCACAGAGAAAGAACAAGGAAATAAAGCATGCAGTGTTAATTCAACTCTTAACAGGCCATTTCATTAGTTTATTTCTGTTACTTTTTTTAAACAGAGCAGGATGCTTGCTGTGGACATTAACATTTTGCTATCCAGAATTCTTTTCATCTCGCAGCTATTACAGAGCTGTGCTATTGTTAAAGCCCAAAAGATACTGAAAGGTTTAAGAAGCCCATTCAGTTAGCTTTAAAACATTTCTGTTATGAAAAACAGACTTAAAAACCTCAGGTAATACAGTTAAAGTAACCACTTGAAAGCTAGAAACTATTAGAGAATTTGCATGTCAATATTAATGTGAACATAAAGAAAAATACTAGACAATTTCAGCAACACAGCTATATTTATATATCCAAATTTCCACTGTGATCTTCACAGTAACAAGTGATCAAGGGGTTAAGAATTGCACCCTTTAACAAACTATAATACTCTATGCTATATGAATTTACAGACACTGTCAGTATTTTCCAAGATCCTACTTTTAAGCATCAAAATTCCCAACAGGTTAAGGGTTTGCAGAGGAGAGCTTATGATGATAATTAGACTTGTATCTTTACTCCCTGCATTCAAGGAGTAGGTTCCCACCTCTACGAGGGAATGCTCCCACCAATACGTACCTACTCCGCTCAACCAGCAATTTCTGTTCCTTCTTTGCTTCTGCCATACCTCTCATTTCATTGAAAGATGAAGCAACTTTCTTCCTCACTTGCTTCCATGTTCTGTAGTCAGCTGATAGTTGACTGCCAGCACCTTTCTACCTTGGAAAAACTCTCTTCTCCATATTCACTCTGAAAAATTTTTAGTGCTTATACACGAAGAAAGATAGCGTTCCATTTACGTACCTCCTTTCCTTCCTCTATACTCTCACTTTTCAGTGAGTTTATGCTCCCTTGGGGTTTCGGTTGCTTATTCAGGGTTATGAGAATTATTAATCACTGCATATGAGTCACAGGAAGTTGCATTTATTTCTGTATTCACCTGCCTCAGTCACTGAACCATTGCAGAAGTGTATTAAATCCTGCAGAGGAAATAAAAAGCACTCTGTTGGTGGAATATCACAATCTTGGCCACTACTAGAGTAAGAACATTCAGTGTGTGATACAGTACGTCTCTTCACCCTCCCGTATCTTTACTTCCCTACTATGACTGTGCTCTCTTTCTTTACCTTTCTATTGGGATAAGGCCTAGTATTGATAGGAAAAAAGCTTGTTCCACAAACACAACAAACAGACTCTTACATACGCAAAATCTTTGATAGTCTGTGTTCAAACCCAGGAACACTTAGCTAAAAGCAGAAAACAAAAGGATCACCTCCACTGATTTCTAAGTGCCTGCTTTATTACTACTTAAATTAGCCCCTTCCCTTTCTTTGAACACCAGCTGTTTGTTACCTGCATGGTTTGTCAGCATTCCTTTATGGAGATTTGCTAACTCATCAGGCGTTGCTGCCAGATTACTTGCGATTAGATTAGGTGAGACTCTTACCTTGATAATCTTCGTAGTGATTGTAGGGTTTTTTCCATGGTGAAGGAGACTTTTAGGTACCTTTTTCTTATGAATTTTCCAGAGTTTAATTATGAAAAGTGCTTTTTCTCTAAAAAAAAAAACCCAGGAGGGCTGTGATTTTAATTTCAGTCACACATCAGTGTAAGTCTGGTATAATTTCATTAACCAGTATAAGATTTTTCTTTTTTTGAGAAGCGAATCTTTGAAAGTGTAAGAAAGGCATTCCTTTTTCCAACCAACATTAGGCAGAGGCACAGTCTGGGACATAAGCTTGTCTCGGCACCAGGGAAACTGGTGCTTCCTCGTGGAGATATAAAAGATGTATTTTCTTTATTATCACTAAGATTCCTACATACATTTATAAAAGAAGGAAGTTGTGATTTTTCAGATGCTGCCTTTTATTAAAGCTCATGCATACACTAATCACAAGAAATGCTAAAGCCAGTGTATGCCTGTGCGTGACCTTTTCCAAGTAGAAATTTGCACCTACTGATGGAAGAGAACTAAGTCTCAAAAGCCTAAAAGGCATTACAGATAACCACCTCATCTGGTCTTTTTCTAAATGTAATTATCAAACTCTATTGAAAACCAAGTAGGCATCTTGCCCTTCCTGCCCAAGAACCTCACTCCTCCAGAGTTCAGTCTCAAGGGTAATATATACATACAGATATTGTGCCAAATTCTGTCATTTCTTTCCTGCTCTTTTCCCTTGCTAGTGATTAGCCCCATTTCTCTACGTGTTTGCATTTCTAAGGAGGTCCTCAAATGTAACACTTCTCTTATGCGTTTGATTAAATTATTGTAGAGAAAGAAGATTCTTCCCTGGGTAACCCTCTTAGCTGGTCCTTCCTCCACTCACCTGTCTAGGAGATTCTGCCCTCCTTTCTCCCCTCCTGGCCATCAATTTGCTTGGCTAAACAAATTGAACTCTTAATCTCCTTAAGAGAGATTCTACATCTCCCTGATTATTCAACTCGCCCTTCGCTGCTCCCGTTTGCTTCATCTTTCTTGAGCCTAATGTGCTGCAATTGTTTGTGCCGTGGTCACTATTGAAAATGATTGTTCCTAAGTCTGATTTATCAGTAACCTCCCTTTCACTTGATGTATTCCTTTTCTGCACATGCTGCAGTAATTGCCAAACCTTTATCAGTTCTTCTGTTAAATGCTTTTCTCTCCTCCTCAACTAGTACTCTATATGGAATTACACCAAATTCACTTGGCATCCAAGGTCGATTAGAATTTCTCATTTTTTACAGGAGGCCATTTTACATCCGCTTTTCATTGTTGGAGTTTGCCTTGGTTAAGAGGGTATTCAAACCAAGGCAGTACTCAGCTGCGCTGGACTGGGGAATTAATGGTAATACAGTTTGCCCCAAGGGAAAGGGAAATGGAAGTGTTTCTGCTGTGTGACAACTGTGTCTGTAGTTTCTGTGCCAATGACCAATTATGTCTCTACAGAAAATGGCTTCTGTGAATATGCTTGTGGCTAGATGGATGGTATATAGTACGTGGGGCCGAGAAGGGCAGAGTCACTCTAGAAATCAATAGGAAACAGAACTGCCTGTGCTAGGTATTTTGTTCCTCATCCTGTCTCCCGCAAAATACAGCAGATGCAGGATAAGGAGAGATGATCTTATTCCCAGGGGTTTGGATATGAATTCTCTCTCCTTGCTGCCTCCCTTTTCCCACAGCAAGTATGTACTGTGAAGTTTATGCTTCAGTTTCAGATGTTGTAATTCCTATCTTTTCTGTTGTAATTCTACCTTTTTTAATCTGTTTTAATGAAACATTTTCTTGCCGGTTCACAGAGAAATCCGTTGAAAGGTATTAAGTTCAAAGGCATGCCACGGACACGCTCTTCACTTCTTCTGTATCTTCACAATGATACAGAAGAAAACAAGGTATGTACATCACTGCTATCAAGTCTTAGACTTAAAACATTAGTGAGATGATTGCATAATTCACTCCTACAGGATGGATGGTGTGTTTTATCTCTACAGGCTTGTCTGTCAGTTACCTGAGAGCAAATACTGTTGAAGAACTCAATCTGTGGGCAGTCTCCAAAAGGTCTAGGACAGAGTCTGATAGCCCACATGAGAAGGGGTTGAGAGAATGGTTTTAAATCATCTTTGTGCCTTCCCAGTCCTGTACTATCCCGTGCTCCCTGTGTGATTAGAGAACCGCAAGGACCTGGCTTCCATGTGATAGTTCTGCCCAGACTTCTATGGGGTCCATCTGTAACCCAGCCCATCCACACTTAGTATACCCCCTATATTAGGAGACGTGAAAGGAGGTCTTAGAAACAAGCCTTGTAGGTGTCAATGTCTGAAGAAAGCAATTCCTCATACATCTGTGTATAGGTGTTTTAGAGACCAGTATATAAAAAACCAGTAAGGGGATGCTATTAATTTGCCAAGTTTGGCAGATACTGCTGCATCACATCATGTTCTGAAGGTTTTCCTTGTGCCAAAAAGGCTAGACTCCATTTAGGTAAGTTGTAATTCATGCAGAAACTAGCTAAGGAGAAGGCAGTTAGCTCATCAGTATGTAGATCATCACAGATATTTTGAGGCTGCCATTTTGGTTCAGAAGACAAATCATTGAAGATAGGAATTTAAAGCAGGACTCCTTGACCTTTGACTTTGGTGGCTAGCTGGGCGTAGTACAATTCACAGAAAGTGGAGCTTGTAGTAATTTCTTTCAAGGAAAAAATATGTGCCACCACGATTCTCTACACCACCAGCGTCACCTAAACCACCTGGACTGTTTGAGGTGTTTTGATTACACGGAGCAGTTCACTCCGTCACATCAGTTAACAAGAGTCTCCTGGGGAAGTTCTGGGGAATTGCTGAAACATGCCATATGCAGTACTTTAGATTTTGAATCTGTATATTCTAACATAAAATTATTCCTTAATATTTAAAATAATAATTATGTTTTAATGAAAGCTGAAATACATAGAAATTGTTTCAAAGACATATATAGTGCAGTTTTACATAGTTTATCAAACCCCACATACTGAAAATAATGTAACTGTAAACAGGAACTGAAACATGCCTCAATAAACACTAGGAGAAAGCTGGGAACAACCGATATATATAAATTAACCACGAAAGTGAAATGTACTGCCTACACAGTGTTACACTTACTACATGCTGAAGGGCCACAAAGTACACCATCACCATATGTTTGAAAACTGTCATGACTCACATGGAACAGGCTGATGAATAATAGTATCTTCCTTCACCAGTGTATAACACTGACCGGAAATCTACCCAGTAAATGGTTCCGTTGTGGGCAGCAATTTAACATGCCCCATATCCTTATAATTAACTACATAACCGCAAAAATGTTACTGCCAGATTTATCATGCACCAATGCAGAAAGCACTCTAAATATCTTTAAAGGAAGATTCACACATTTGTCATTTCCCATCCCACTCATTTTGCAGCCAGAGGAGGTTGGAATGCTGTGCTTCGTCAGTCTCACTAATTTCACTTATCTTCTTTCTCTGTGAATTTTTGGTTGTGAACTCTGTTGCGTAGTGCCCCAAACCAAAGTTCATACTGTTGCTTTTCTAATTTACATGTAAACATATCATAGAACTAAAAGTGGAAATGACATCGTTAATTACATATGAAATTGAACATTGAGTGCTAAGTGCTAGCTAATACCCATAAATTATAGACTCAAGACAGTAAGTAATAAGCTGCTTTGCTGCTTTTAGAGAAAGTGTGAACCTCATGATTCAAAAGCCTGAGAAAAATCTTGCTAAGATGGAAACATGCCCCGTCCAGTGGCAACTCTTCAGCCACATTCTCCCAGCATCAGCCTATTTTACTCCGTCCTATGGCAATCAGATTTATGGCTGTGATACCGTGGTAACTGTTAAGCGTGCCCAGCAAGTCTCCAGGTGTCACACTGAATAGACCCCTCTTTTTCCAACAGCAAAAGCAGCACCAGGGAAGCAGCAGCAGAGGAGCATAGCAAATGAATTCATTTTGAGCATCTCTTGTCAATTAAAATTGCTCTATAATATCCTATGGCAGAGCTGATTTTTTCTTTGAAGTGAGCTTGAATTCTCTGTTGACACAAATTAGCACCTGTGGCTATTTGCTCATATGTCAGCTTAGAATTTTGTTCTGTTTTCCGTGGTGAAATTTTTCATGAGGCCTGAGGAAACTGGAGGTTTTCCAGCCGTGACATTAAAAGTGAAATATTATTTTGGTAAATGTGAGAAGAAGATTGGTAAATCCAGAAGGCATGTTCTTAAATATTCATTGGAATTTAGTTTCCATTTTGTCTTTCAGTCTCATACAATTTTGGACAAATAAGAGTTTTCTACCTAAGTATTTATAGTTTCTACAGCTACTAAGGTCAGAACTGTCTTGACTTGGTTTGTTACAGAATATTTATGCTGTGTCATACCATGTATTTTCTATATGACACTCCACAATAATAAAATTATTTGGAAAGCAACCAAGGCAGTCAAGTAATGTCTTTTGAAATTTGCAATTCATGGATTTTGCCTTCTAATATAGCTTTGACTACAAAATCTGTTTTGCAACACCCCTCCCCCCCCAAGAATCTAGACTTCTGATTATTCAAATGATTTTAGAAATGAAAATCTGCAACTTTTCTGGAACCCTTTAAAAACAGCCAATGTATGCTACACGCTGATCATCATATGAAAAATTTTCCACGGCAGGGATTTATTACAAAGATGGAGCTGAAATTTGTCAACAGTAAGTTCTTTAACAATGAGCTATAAGTAGTGACCTGGATTTCTTATGATTCCAAAACCTGCGTTTTGCCTGTTTATGTGTTTTGGCTCAGCTGATGAAAGTTACCATAGCCAGTTCTGCAGCTGAATCATATCAGTGGGTTCTTTGGAGGCAGCAGTGTGAACAGAGTACTGCTGAGTGCCAGCAATTCTTGACTGGCACGGGGGCTCCTGGAAACTCATGCCAGTCATGGTCCATCAAAGTAGCTTCAGGGCTACTCCAGCTTAGGCTGAGTGCTAATTGCCTCCTGGCACCCTCAGGAGATGCAATCAGTCATTCTTGCTGTCTCCTGCCATCTCAGGCC